GTTACAGGGTTTGTGTCCTGGTGTTAAGGCAAACATACAGGTTCTGTTCACGTTGGTTCCCCGGGTCCTCGTGCACTGTGTGCGCCAGGGCTGCTGGTCCAGGAGAGCTGTCCTCACCGTGTTCTCCCCCCTTTATTTCCTTCCTGAAGCCTCCAGCCATTCACTGACTGACCGTCACTGCCTCGTGGGCAGCCAGCTGTTGAACACATTTGGTATTCTAGATTTCAGTGTGGGCTGCTGCCTTCTTGCTCTTAGGAATAGTCAGTTCATCCCTCCACCCGTTGAGTATCTGTGAGCATGTGTGTGTGCAGGTCCTGTGCCAAGCGTGGAATACATTGGTGACTGAAACATGCGCAGCCCGCACGGCCCAGCACTGGGGGCGCAGAGAAGCGGGAGCGGAGCCGAGAGAGGCCTGGGAGCTGCGTCGATGGGATGGCGACACCTCGTCTGCAGGCCTTCTGGTTGGAGCTGAGAATGGGTGCAGGGAGGGCCCTGCTGGCTCGCCTTCTAGGGCCACATGTGATTGCAGAAGCCGAGTGTGGCGCTCGGGAGTGTCTGCGGAAGTGTGCTGTGAGGGTGCAGTGCAGGCCCGGGGAGCTCCCTCACCGCCGGCTGCTGTCCGAGGACTTTGTGTGTGTCCTTGTGTCTTCCCCCCGAGGTAGGACTGTCCGTCATCCCTGTGTGACAGATGTGAACACTGAGCACAGAGGTTCAGTCCCGTGCTCAAGGCGGTGCCAGTGAGTGGGGAGGCAGGACACAGGCCCGCGGTTGAGCACTGTCTCAGTTCCTGTGCTAGCGAACGGATGTCTTCAGGAGAAAGGGTCGTTAGCGGTTGGAATAAAGTTCGGGTTAAATGTTACTGCTGAAGAGAGAGGTGGTTGTATGTTGGTGGCATCTGAATGGCTGTGTGTGGTGAGCTAGCCCATGGAGGATCAGCAAAAGGACAGGCGGTTTGGGGCAGTGATGAAAAGCACAGTGTTCAAATTCCCGAGGAGGCAAGATACGTGATCCTAGTCTGCTGTCAGTGTGGTACCAAAGAGTGTCTTCAGAAGTGCTGATGATCTCCCAGAAGATGTGACAGTGCTTCGAGACCCAAGAAGTGGGGTGCCTAGTTCTGAGCAGCCTGAAGCTCTTGCGAAAACTGACCGCGTCAGCCTTCCGAGCTCGTCCTTGTAACTGAGCGCTTCTAGGGGGCGAAGGGCTAAGGAGAGAGCTTTGCCAGCTCCGCCCGCGCAGCCCCGCCTGGGCACGGCACACCTGCTCTTCCGGCGCCTCATCAGTGAGGGGGAACCTTGGTGGGGAGGGGTGAGCCCCCTGGTGGGAGGAGAGGTCAGAGAGAGCCCTGGCGGCAGCCGCAGCCGGGACGTCAGAGCCTCCGCCGCAGGTGAGACTCGCGGCAGTAAGATGCGGTCATGGAACTTGCAGATCACGGGTGTTGGAGAAGCCGTCTTTCTCAGGTCTCTGTGAGCCTGGCAGGAACAGCAGTGATGACTGTCGGGCTTCAGGAAGCAACTAGGGAAGAGCCGTGTGGAGTAGTCCCGACAGGAGGAGGAGCATCTCTCAGGCGCCCTCCAGCTGTGAGCAGAGCCACAGCTCCTTGCGTGGTGGCGACCGACGCGGGTTCCGGCTCGGAGCCTCATGCTTCCACCTTCAGAATCCAGCACAAGTCCGACCGATGTGTACCAGGCGGTTTTTCCTTCTGTGTGATTCTAAGAACACGGTGTCGCCGTTGTTCCAAGAGTTGGCTTGGACCCTGAGGCTCTCCGGGCCAGTTCCTCTGGACTGTCCCCACGGCAGCAGTACCCCTGCTGCCCTTCTGTGCAGAGGGCTTGTCTGGGCTCCTCCTGGGCGCCGCCGCAGGCAGCGCCGACCCCTCCTGTGCGGACCAGCACGCGCATGTGCGTCGTATGTGCGTCGGCAGCCGGGGTGTCTGGGAGGACAGCTGTCACTTGTTGCGTCTAAAGGTTGAACAAGTTTCGTTATTTGTCTTCGGTAGGTGTTAATATTTTACTAATCTGTGAGCTGAACCTCATAAAAAAGGCCCGCTCTCCCTTCTCTCGGGCTGCGGCGCTGTCCTCGGGGTCCCGGCTCGGGTCTGGGTTGCACTTCTCCCCACCAGTTACCTGAAGGACTCGCATCCTATCCCGTCTGCACTCACCTGTTGAAACTCTTTCCTGGTCCCTCTCCCAGAAGAGGGACAGCCAGGTCCACGGGGCAGGGTTTGAATCAGCGGCCTAAGTGAAGAGGGTGTTGCGGAGGGCGAGGGCTGCTGGCGGGTGTCGGAGCGGGTGTGTGCCGCCCGGGCGGCCAGGCACACGTCAGCGCAGGCGGTTGCTGACTATATTTTCTGTGCCACTCCAAGAAAAATGGCTTAAACTTTTATTTTTTTAAATAATAGCAGGAACTTGGTTGCTAATTAATCATCATCAGAAAGTTTTGAAGATGATTTTAAACATGGTTTCAAACACATGTACATGTGAGAGAAAAAGATATTTGAAACTGAAGAGAGAAGATGGATGCTCTGGGAATAAACCCTGTAAGAACACATGTTCTGCCTGTTGCCTGGTGGGGCACGCGCCGAGGCACCGCACCTGCCGAGGCACCGCACCCGCCCACGGATTTCGGACAGGAGTGGGGCCTTCCTCAGCACGAGGGGCAGGCCACGGCTCCTGCACGTCCGGTGGATCACAGCAGGGGGCAGGGTGCCATCAGAACGTTCTCTCTAGCACAGTGTGACACGGTGAAAGTATTACACGAAGGGCCCACGCCAAAGCATTGTGTCAGCTAAGCCATGTGGACTGAGGAAGGGTGTGCATTCGTTCGGGTAGAGAGCTCTCCGGGGCAGCACGATTGCACACCTGTGGGTTCTCACTCCTCACCCCACGCTTCATGGCACTGATACTCTAGAGGAAAGTGACTGTCTCTGGGTCAAGCCTGGTGAGGGAGACTCCCCTTGATTTCACCTCACGTGCAGACAGACTCAGAACGTCCTCTCGGGCTTTCTGTTCCATACATCTCGGCCCCTTTGTATAGATAGGTCATGATGCTTGTGCTTAACACGACTGCTTTGACTCCACATAGCCGTGATCTCATGGCTTGTGTTTGTTCCCACGCTCACTTTGCGTCCCCTACAGTGCTGGGGCCAGGGCACACTCGGGCGGCAGAGGGCATTTCTGTGGCCAGGGCACACTCGGGGCGGCAGAGGGCATTTCTGTGGCCAGGGCACACTCGGGGCGGCAGAGGGCATTTCTGTGGCCAGGGCACACTCGGGGCGGCAGAGGGCATTTCTGTGGCCAGGGCACACTCGGGCGGCAGAGGGCATTTCTGTGGCCAGGGCACACTCGGGGCGGCAGAGGGCATTTCTGTGGCCAGGGCACACTCGGGGCGGCAGAGGGCATTTCTGTGGCCAGGGCACACTCGGGGCGGCAGAGGGCATTTCTGTGGCCAGGGCACACTCGGGGCGGCAGAGGGCATTTCTGTGGCCAGGGCACACTCGGGGCGGCAGAGGGCATTTCTGTGGCCAGGGCACACTCGGGCGGCAGAGGGCATTTCTGTGGCCAGGGCACACTCGGGGCGGCAGAGGGCATTTCTGTGGCCAGGGCACACTCGGGCAGCAGAGGGCATTTCTGTGGCCAGGGCACACTCGGGGCGGCAGAGGGCATTTCTGTGGCCAGGGCACACTCGGGCGGCAGAGGGCATTTCTGTGGCCAGGGCACACTCGGGGCGGCAGAGGGCATTTCTGTGGCCAGGGCACACTCGGGCGGCAGAGGGCATTTCTGTGGCCAGGGCACACTCGGGCGGCAGAGGGCATTTCTGTGGCCAGGGCACACTCGGGGCGGCAGAGGACATTTGTGAAGGCATCTTCAAGTAATGTCACATTCAGAGGGAACAGCTAATTGTATTAGTAATAAAGTGACAGAAAAAGCATTAGAATTTTATGAGAAGGGAGTATGACTTTAAAAAGTTAAGAAATAACGGATGAGTTTCAAAGAATGAGGTGTTATTAAATAAAATTGTTTGATGATGCGTGTAATGCATGAATTCTTTATGGAGAAGGGAAAAACAACGTGAGGCCTTTCTGTGCCTCCAAAAACGGGAGGCTTTCTCAAGCAAATGGGTGTTCCAAAAATCTGAATTCCCGCCCTAGTTGGTTTGGCTCAGCGGTTAGAGCGTCGGCCTGCGGTCCAGAGAGACCTGGGTTCTGTTCCCGCTAAGGGCATGTACCTTGGTGGCAGTTTGTCCCCGGCCCTGGTTGGGTCGTGTGGGAGGCAGCCACTCGATGTGTCCCTTCACGTCAACGTTTCTCTCTCTCTCTGTTCCTCTCTCTCCCTCCCACTGTCTGAACAAAAAATGGAAAAATGTCCTTGGTGAGGATAAAAAAAAAAATCTGAATTCTTGAAAGAGTAACTGAAAATGAAGTAATTTTAGTTTTATCTATAGAGTTCTGCTAGCAACATTAGCTACTAAATAATGTTAATCTTTAAGAGTTTGGAATTTTTTTGTCCAATGGAATCCAACTGTGTAATACTTCTTTTGTAGTAACGTGGTTTCTTTCACATTTCACATTTTCCTGCTTTGTCAGATTGCTGATTTGTGTTGTGTAAATTCTTTTTCTCTTTTGAAGTAAAGCATCTTTATAGCTGTAGCTTATGGTTGTGTTAAAAAGGTAGCAAAGATTCATGTTTGAAAAGATAAATATCAGGAATGTCGAAAGGAGACATTTCGTCTTTCGGATTAATGGGCAAGGAGGTCAATAATTGCATGGATTTCAATAAGCTTAACAATAATGTTCTGTGGTGCTGTGGACATATTAAAACATGGGATTAATTTTCAGATGCTACATTTTGGTGTTGGACTGTTTCATATGGTGGAATCACTTTTGTAACGTGCAGTCATAGATGTGGGGGGTATGGGAGGTGAGTTACTGTGTGTTTTCAGGGGACTCGGACTGTGTGCAGATTGTTTTCTCCCCTCTCACCCTCTTCCCTGTTGTTCTGTAGGGCCCTCCGGAGTTCCCACAGCACACCCCCGGGCCTGTCCCCAACAACTTCAGCCAGCCTCCGCGGCTTCCTCTGCAGGACCAGTGGAGAGCACCACCCCCTCCCCAGGAGCGGGACCCCTTCTTCTTAGGAGGTAAAGGACAGTGCGGAGCAACGGAGCAAAGCTGGGGGGGTCGCCCAAATACCCTTCTGTTTCACACTGAATCCGGCTCCCACCAGGAGGCTTTGTTAGGTGTCCGATCTCTGCCCTAGCACTTCGCCTGGGTTCCAGCGCTAAGATCAGACAGGATTGGTGTCCGAAGCGTGAGCGCTTCACACAGAACAGGAAGTCAGTTACAGGAAATGACTAGAGAAACTGTCGAGAAGAAAGAAAAGAGGGAAAACCTCGGGTTCTTTCAAGCATTGGCACCTGCCACCACTTGTCCTCTAGTCGTGGGAAGACAGGTAGCAGCCCCAACAGCTCGCGTTCTGGACAGCCCGAGGTGACAGCCTGCTGTTTGCAGTTTCAGGAGAACCTCGCTTCCCGAGCCATCTCTTTCTGGAGCAGCGGAGCCCCCCGCCACCGCCACCCCCTCCCACGCTTCTCAGCAGCAGTCACCCTGTGCCCACGCCCAGTCCCTTACCATTTGCTCAGCCAGGGCCAGCGTTTAATCAGCAAGGGCAGCAGCCTGTGTTCCCCAGGGAGAGGCCCGTGAGGCCCGCCCTGCAGCCTCCCGGTCCCGTGGGCCTTCTTCACTTCAGCCAGCCAGGGTCTGCTGCCGCTCGGCCCTTCATTCCTCCTCGACAGCCCTTCCTGCCGGGCCCCGGACAGCCCTTCCTGCCCACGCACGCACAGCCTACCCTGCAGGTACTCGGGCGGGGGCTCGGCCCGGGGCCTCATGGGGGAGGAGGGGTGTGCTGCGGTTCTGGGTCTGGTGCTTTTGAAGACGGAGTGACACGCTTTTATTCTAGTCTGCTAAGATGTGGAGGTGATTTAAAGAATAAGGTTCTTAATCCCAAATGTTCTATTTACAACAGACAGTTCTCTTGACAATATTTATCTCCTTAATCATAGAATGGAAAAGGTGATTGTCAATTTTGAGGAAATGAAAAAATTGTATTAAGATATTTAAATTGTGTTAGTGGCTGTACCGCTGATACAATTAGGGCATGTTTTGATAATACTTTTGCTCATCACGGGACGTCCTAAAAGGTTTACAGTGGAAATAAAGTTCTTTGTCAGACGATGTTCCTGCATAGGCTGCTGAGGGCTCCCCTCGGAGGAAGTGCTGTGTTGGCTCCTGCTCCTCCCTGTTGGGTGGGTTGAGCGCCCTCTGCTGGCGGGCTGTCTCATGGGCCTTGCTGGGAGAACTACTGCTTACCCGGAGGCTTCTGTTTGTGCTGGAAGCTTAGTTAGAATAGACAGTGGGGGTACGCTGGAATCAGCTGTTTAGGGACACAGGGTATGAATCTAAAGTGAAAAGAGGAAAATGATTATTCAGGGCACTAAAGTAGGATAAAATGGCTGTGTGTGAGGTCACCACCCCAAGTCAGGTTTCCGCCCATCACATTTATATCCCTTTACCCTTTTCTACCTGTTTTTCTTTTTATTAAAAAAAAAAAATAGTGACTATATCTTTATTGCAGAACTATGGGAGTAGAGATCAGTATTTAAAAAGGAAATTAAATAAGCCCGACCCCGGACACAGTCGCCACTGACACTGGGTGCTCACGGCTCTAGTCTTGTCAGAGCACCTGTCCACAGCACGCTCCTCTGCAGGCGGCCTGCGGTGGCCCTCGGGCGGGGACTGCTGTCACTCTCGGCCGACCCCGCGCCAGGCGCATTCATGGCGCCGCTGCGCTGACGCACTCTTAAGAGACAGTACGGCAGGGAGCCTCAAGAGGTTGTTTGCACCCTTAGTGATGTCCTTCGGACCGTCCTTGGAACTTGGGATGAAAGGGCTTAGGGCAAATAGAATACCTTCGCCAGCAGATCTGAGTGCAGTTCGTGCACTTGAGCTCTGTCTGGTGGTGGGGTCCTGAGGGAAGGGCTGAATTGGAAACGACTGGTATGTACATTTATGAACTGTTCTTTCTCTCTTCTTTTGGCACGGAAGGGGCCCCTGCACCCCCCGTTGCCCCCTCCACACCAGCCCCCACCGCAGCCCCAGCAGCAGCCCCCACTGCAGCCGCCCCCGCAGCACCCGCCGCCCCCGCAGCCGCAGCACCAGCCGCCTCACCAGCCGCAGCAGCACCAGCACCACCACCACCTGTCGGTGCCCCCGCCACCTTTGATGCCCATGTCGCAGCCCCAGTTCAGGCCTCACATGCAGACGGCTCAGCCTCAGCAGAACAGCAGTCGGATGCAGTGCCCCCAGCGCCAGGGGCTGAGGCATGTGAGTGTCTGCCCGTCTCCAGCCGTCTGCCAGCCACGCCCTTGAGGTCGCAGAATGTCAGGGGCAGAGCTCGTGAGTGGGGTGGTTTCCAGTTCTGATCCAGTGAACAAAACCCCCCTGCAGTGCGTTCTTGCGCAGCAAACGCAAGTTTCAAAACTGCTTAGGACATTGTTTTCTCAACCACAGAAATCAGTAGTGTCTCTCTTGTGCCTGAGTCTCCTCGTGTTGTTTGCTTCAGCCTCTTATTTCTGTGTGTCTGTGTCCTGTAGTGACGACACTGGTGATCCACAGATGAGCAGCCTCAGAGAACAGTGTCTGTGGCAGTCACTCACCCTTTGCCAGGGGCTTGCTTGTTGATGCACAGGTCAGCCCTGTGTCCTGAGCCCTGAGTAAGTAGGTAAAGGGTTCAGGAAGAGAGCCCTCTGCTGCTCACACCCTCCAGCTTCTGGCAGCGCAGCGGTGAGCAGGAGGGGCAGGTGTCCTGCCCATGGAGCCGCGTCTCTGTGAGCTCGTGCGCTCAGAGACCATCGCGAGCGCGTGGTGGTCACACCTGGAAAGAGACTGGGGAGTGTATTGCTCTAAAAATTAGTTAGAAGTCACTGTTACTGCCTGTTCTCATTAAATAGCTAACCCTTTTATGAAAAATCTAATGGTTAGAGTTCGAGGCTCTAAGGTGACAGTCGGGTTTTCCTTTTATACTGTCCCGTGTGACCTTGAGCTTCAAGCATGTCATCGAGCTACTTTTAATCTCAAATGTTCTTGAACCTGCATCTTTCTTGAAGTAACGGACTGAAATGGTCAGAAATGAGAAAGGATGTGCAGACCTGGGGCGACGGTTGTTGGCTAGGGCTGTCTGTTCGAGCAGTGCAGGCCACGTGCCTGCCTCGTGCTCTTCCTGTCGACCCTGCGGGGTCCGAGAGCCGGGTCATCTCATGTCTGTGAACCCCCAGGTGTGGAGATTCTGTTAAGAATCCATAGGATAAACATGACCAAGTATTTCCTCTTGGATAAAACTTGCTGGCATCTTTCTCCCCCAGGGAGGGCACTGACTTCATCTTGATTCTCCGCCTGGTCCACTGTGCGTTCACGGGGCCTGGGAAAGTGGTGCTGCCAGTCTCGGTGCAAACAGTCCTTTGTTGGCTCCAGCCACAATCGGGAGCCTGTCTGTCAGCTGTGCTGCCCCCTAGTGGTCACAGCCCCTGACAGCAGGTGTGTTTGCACCGAGCAGGGCGCACGCATCGTGGAAAGGATGGAGGAGAAGCCGCTTCCTGACTAGAACAGTTGTGATGTTTGTGTCCAGTGCTCTGAGCAGCGTGCCTCTGGGGCCCTTCTCCTGAGTTTCCTGTTGGGACTGGAGTTTCTCTCTTCTTGCGACAGAACACGACGTCCCAGAGCGCAACCAAACGGCCCACGCAGCAGCTGCAGCCAGCCGCCCCCAGGAACAGCAACCTGCGCGAGCTGCCGATAGCACCCTCCCACGTCCTGGAGCTGAGTCACAGTCGTGGCGCGTCCACGCCAGGCGCTCACGGAAAGCCCACGGGCAGCACTTCGCCACCCTCGAGGCCTGGGCCCGGGCCCAGGAGCGCACAGGGGAAGACGGACATGAAGGCCAAGCCCGTCAGCCCCGAGGGTCAACCTAAGGAAGAAGCAAAAGCAGAACCAGAGGTAGGACTCTGTTCTTAAGAAATAGTATTTGGCCTCAAACAGGAAGCCATGCGACCTACTTGTACCTCTTAGTTCACTTTGATCCAGCTAGTTGTTCACCAGATCTTCCCGGTTCTTAGCTGGGTCCGTGCTGTCACCTCACGGCCAGGCTCGTAGAACACATGCTCTCCTGCCTGGTCTCCGTGTCGGTCGGTGTCGGCCTCGCATGGAGGCTGTCTGCTGGGGAGGCTGTCTGTGCTGGGCTTGGCGCACAGGTCCTCAGGGCCCAGGTGGCACACGCCTCACGTGCTGGTCCAGGCCGGTTCTCAGCTGTCAGCTCGGCATTTTCAGCACAGAAGCCACACGGGCAGCTCCCGCACGGCAGCAGTGGCCGTGCTCCAGTGACGCTGGACGCGATCTGGCCGGCGAGCTGGAGGCAGCTGGTCCTTGATGGGAACCTGTGGGCTCTGACTTTCTTGTTCTGCACTGTGCACGAGACAGGGCCACCTTTACTTTTGGCCTTTAAGATTTGGGGGTGGGGGCAGGTTATTTTGACTTCTTTTACATTACTGCTCATTTTAAATAGGTATAAATAAGTATAAACAGTAAATGCAAATTAGTATGTGACATGGTTTCCAGTTGAGATCTTATTTGCATCTTGATTGAGTTTGGCCACTTCATTATTTTTTGTGTAGGGGTGACTTGGTATTAGTACAGATTTGGTTGTGAACTTTTTTTTTTTATCCTCACCCGAGGACATTTTTCCATTTTTTGCTCAGATAGAGTGGGAGGGAGAGAGAGAGAGAGAGAGAGAAACATCGACGTGAAAGGGACACATCGAGTAGCTGCCACCCTCACGACCAACCAGGGCCGGGGACAAACTGCAGCCGAGGCACGTGCCCTTAGCAGGAACCGAACCTATGTCTCTGGACCGTAGGCCAACGCTCTAACCGCTGAGCCAAACCGGCCAGGGCTGGTTGTGAACTTTTTGATTAGCTCTTTTTAAGTCTTAGTAAAATCTGCGTCTGGGACAAACCCCTGAGGCCACTGGTCTCGAAAGAGAAGCGGCTTTGGTTGTCCCCTGCTTCCTGCCTGGAGACATAGTCCTGGCTGTGCCAGAGGCACAGATGCAGACCGGAGGCGGTGTCTGAATCCGGGTCTAACGAGAGCAGGTGTCCAGTGGAGCACAGGTGACTGCATGTCCTCGGCGTGGCCTGAGCCAGTCACTTCACTTCTCATGAGCCTCACGTGGTGCTGAGGAAGTTTAAGGAGAATGTAATAAGTGAGTATCATAATGGCAGGAAGAGTTTCCTTTGGAAAAATATAGGCAAGTCATGTTTTCTTAATTATTAAAAACCAGTTAACACTAGCTTTATCTTTAGTCAGTTACATTTGGGGGGAGTCATAATGTGTTACTAATCAGAAATGTAAGTGAAAATGCTGAGTTGACATTTAACAGGCTCTCACTGAAGGAGGGTCACGTCTGCACGGGCTCTGCAGCTCGGTCCTCAGCAGAATCGGTAATGCAGGGCCTGCAGAAGGGGACTTGCAGGTGACCGTGTGCACGCAGTGTCTGCATTTGTTTGCTTTCAGATTCTGTGCACATAGAATGGTCCAGGAGTAACATTGTTTTAGTTCTTAAAATATCTTCTATTTGTTTTGTAGTTTATCTTCTTATATTCACCCAGTCTATAATGATATGCTAAAGGAAAACCTATTTAGAAGCATTCCCTTCTGTATTCTTGAACAGACTCGAACTCTTTCTTGGTTACTTGGGGAACACATCCTCCTGGTGACTGTCCCTGCGTTGGAAGCAGGGGCCGGGCCTGTCACTGCTTCCCTGAGTGCCTGGCCCCTGCGCTGTGTGAGCGCTGTGCACCCCTACACCTGTCTGTCTGAGTGCCTGGCCCCTGCGCTGTGTGAGCGCCGTGCACCCCTACACCTATCTGTCTGAGTGCCTGGCCCCTGCGCTGTGGGAGCGCCGTGCACCCCTACACCTATCTGTCTGAGTGCCTGGCCCCTGCGCTGTGGGAGCGCCGTGCACCCCTACACCTGTCTGTCTGAGTGCCTGGCCCCTGCCCTGTGTGAGCGCCGTGCACCCCTACACCTGTCTGTCTGAGTGCCTGGCCCCTGCGCTGTGTGAGCGCCGTGCACCCCTACACCTATCTGTCTGAGTGCCTGGCCCCTGCGCTGTGTGAGCGCCGTGCACCCCTACACCTATCTGTCTGAGTGCCTGGCCCCTGCGCTGTGTGAGCGCCGTGCACCCCTACACCTATCTGTCTGAGTGCCTGGCCCCTGTGCTGTGTGAGCGCCGTGCACCCCTACACCTATCTGTCTGAGTGCCTGGCCCCTGCGCTGTGTGAGCGCTGTGCACCCCTACACCTATCTGTCTGAGTGCCTGGCCCCTGCGCTGTGTGAGCGCCGTGCACCCCTACACCTATCTGTCTGAGTGCCTGGCCCCTGTGCTGTGTGAGCGCTGTGCACCCCTACACCTGTCTGAGTGCCTGGCCCCTGCGCTGTGCGAGCGCTGTGCACCCCTACACCTGTCTGAGTGCCTGGCCCCTGTGCTGTGTGAGCGCTGTGCACCCCTACACCTGTCTGAGTGCCTGGCCCCTGCGCTGTGTGAGCGCCGTGCACCCCTACACCTATCTGTCTGAGTGCCTGGCCCCTGCGCTGTGTGAGCGCCGTGCACCCCTACACCTATCTGTCTGAGTGCCTGGCCCCTGCGCTGTGTGAGCGCTGTGCACCCCTACACCTATCTGTCTGAGTGCCTGGCCCCTGCGCTGTGTGAGCGCTGTGCACCCCTACACCTATCTGTCTGAGTGCCTGGCCCCTGTGCTGTGTGAGCGCCGTGCACCCCTACACCTATCTGTCTGAGTGCCTGGCCCCTGTGCTGTGTGAGTGCTGTGCACCCCTACACCTGTCTGAGTGCCTGGCCCCTGTGCTGTGTGAGCGCTGTGCACCCCTACACCTGTCTGTCTGAGTGCCTGGCCCCTGTGCTGTGTGAGCGCTGTGCACCCCTACACCTGTCTGTCTGAGTGCCTGGCCCCTGCGCTGTGTGAGCGCCGTGCACCCCTACACCTGTCTGTCTGAGTGCCTGGCCCCTGCGCTGTGTGAGCGCTGTGCACCCCTACACCTGTCTGAGTGCCTGGCCCCTGCGCTGTGTGAGCGCCGTGCACCCTACACCTATCTGTCTGAGTGCCTGGCCCCTGTGCTGTGTGAGTGCTGTGCACCCCTACACCTGTCTGAGTGCCTGGCCCCTGTGCTGTGTGAGCGCTGTGCACCCCTACACCTGTCTGTCTGAGTGCCTGGCCCCTGCGCTGTGTGAGCGCCGTGCACCCCTACACCTGTCTGTCTGAGTGCCTGGCCCCTGTGCTGTGTGAGCGCCGTGCACCCCTACACCTGTCTGTCTGAGTGCCTGGCCCCTGCGCTGTGTGAGCGCCGTGCACCCCTACACCTGTCTGTCTGAGTGCCTGGCCCCTGCGCTGTGTGAGCGCTGTGCACCCCTACACCTGTCTGAGTGCCTGGCCCCTGCGCTGTGTGAGCGCCGTGCACCCCTACACCTATCTGTCTGAGTGCCTGGCCCCTGTGCTGTGTGAGTGCTGTGCACCCCTACACCTGTCTGAGTGCCTGGCCCCTGTGCTGTGTGAGCGCTGTGCACCCCTACACCTGTCTGTCTGAGTGCCTGGCCCCTGCGCTGTGTGAGCGCCGTGCACCCCTACACCTGTCTGTCTGAGTGCCTGGCCCCTGCGCTGTGTGAGCGCCGTGCACCCCTACACCTGTCTGTCTGAGTGCCTGGCCCCTGCGCTGTGTGAGCGCTGTGCACCCCTACACCTGTCTGAGTAGCCTCATCCGCCTTCAGGTTTGCAGGCTCTCATCTGTCCTGGACTCTGAAGCCGAGAGCTGGCTTGTCAGCGTTGCTGCACAGGTGACGTGCCCTGACGAGGGCCGACTGTCCTGCAGGCCACAGGCTCGGGCTCTGGGAGCACCACTGGAGTCTGCAGCCACATTTGGGTCTTAAGTCTTAATTCTTTAGGTTTATTTGTTAATAGCTGATCTCTGGATAGATTAAATTCGATTACATTCTTTTGGTGAAAGATTTGTGGATCGAGTGTATATCCATGATGCTCTTAAAGGAAATTATTGCAATTAAAAAATTTTTTTTCTTCATTGATTTTAGAGAGAGATTTAGAAGGGAGAGGGAGAGAGAGATAGAAATAGAAACATGGGTTGGCTGCTTCCTGCATGCCCCCCACTGGGGATCACGCCCACAACCTGGGCATGTGTCCTGACCGGGAATTGAACCAGCGACCTGTTGATGCATGGTTGACGCTCAACCCCTGAGCCACACTGGCTGGGCAGATTACTGCAATTTTTAACAGATGCCTAACTTTTTTTTTTTTTTTTTTAATCCTCACCTGAGAACATTTTTCCATTTATGTTCAGGTAGAATGGGAGTAAGGGAGAGAGAAAGAGAGAGAGAGAGAGAGGGAGAGAAACATCAATGTGAGAGAGACCCATCAATTGGTTGCCTCCTGCATGACCCCAACTGGTGCCAGAGACGAACCCCAACTGAGGTACGTGCCTTTGGTCGAAATTGAACCCAGGACTCTTTGATCTGCAGGCCGATGCTCTAACCACTGAGCCGACCCGGCCAGGACACAGATGCCTAACTTCTAAAAAACTTTCGTCTGCATGGTTTTGATGAAAGTTACAAAACTCTTTCGAGATTTTTTGTAGACTTTCGAATGGCTCGGAGCTGGCACGTGAAGGCTTTCCTTCTGTGCCATTGATATTCCAGCACTGCCAGGGGCAGCATTTTGATTCTGAGGAGAGTGCATGAGTTCAAGGTCAGAGAGATTGACTCGTGCTGTTCATTACAACCAATTATTCTGTGACAAATGAGTTTGAGATCAGGCTGAAATTCTGTACGAAAAATCAATAGTTCTAATCAGACCCTTTCAGGTCGTCCACGCCACCTTTTGTTGGCTCGTCAGAGGAGAGCCAGATAAAGCCTGTGGGCCAGCGTTGCCCCTCTGTGGCCTTTTCCGTTGGAACTTATTTTGATATCGTGAATGTTTAATTGGTTTCAAACTTGTAAATGAAGGGAAATGTACATTCTTTTATTTTTAATATTCTGATAAGATTTTCCAAATGAGCTTTAGCTGTGTGATTTTCCCTCCCCGGAGGAAGGAGTTACACGTAAAGTATCTCTCGGATTCTGAGCGGAAAGGGCTGGGATCCTGCACGCTCTGACCGAGGCCGTGCGCGGGCGCTGCCTGCGCCGCAGTGACCGCTGTGTCTGCCCCAGGTCCCCGAGGAGGACGAGGAGACCCGGCTGTACCGCCTGAAGATCGAGGAGCAGAAGCGCCTGCGGGAGGAGATCCTGAAGCAGAAGGAGCTGCGCCGGCAGCAGCAGGCAGGCGCCCGGAAGAAGGAGCTGCTGGAGAGGCTGGCGCAGCAGCAGCAACTCTGCGCCCCCTCGGCCCCTGTGGAGCGGGAGGAGCAGCCGGCGCCGCCATCGCCCGCCAACGGAAACCCCTTGCTCCCCTTCCCTGGTGCCCAGGTCCGACCGAATGTGAAAAACAGACTTCTTGTGAAAAACCAAGATGTCACACTTTCAAGTCTTCAGCCCAAAACGTCAAACTTTGTGCCGTCTGGTGCTAGCATGCCGTACCCGGGACAACCTGCGAAACCACTGAAGCACCTGAGACACAAAGTCCTGCAGGCACAGCCTGTGGACGGCGATGCACAGCCCCCAGCACAGACCGCCCGAGTGACGGCCTTCCAGGGCCGGCCCCCCGACGTCAAGCCGGGCGCCAAAAGGACTGTCATGCACCGGGCAAACAGTGGCGGCGGAGATGGACCGCACGTCGGCTCCAAAGTGAGGGTGATTAAGTTGTCAGGCGGGGTAAGTTGACAAGGTCACTGTGCCTTTCGAATGTCTGTGTCCTTCAGTGAAAATGTCCTCATTCCCAGAGCAAGTGTGAGCAGAGGGAGGCCGTGGCTCTGGACGGCGCGGGGACCCGCCCTCCTGCCGGGGCGTGGGGGCTGCGTTGTTGTCGTGCTGACCGCAGTGCTCGTCTCTGGCTCTCGGGACGCCCGCGTGACGACCTCGCTTACCTTTGCAGTGTTGGCTTTTTTTTGCAGATGATTGGTGGTAGAATAATCAAGTTTGTTTTAAACATAACGTTTCCTTTACCACAAAGCAAGTGATTTGTTGTGTGTAGCTTTAGACTCTGAGCACTGGGGAACCAGGAGGAGCCGAGTTCTGTCGTGAGACCTTGTGGCCTTCCTGTGCTCTGTCGGAGGCCAGCACATCTCACACTCACGTGTCTCCTGGTGACAGTGGCCACTTTCTGGAAGGCAGTCCTTGCTTGTTCCCTGCGCAGTTGGGCCAGGTCAGTGCTTGGGCAGCAGCACAGTGCTTGGGCAGCAGCACACAGAGGCCCGTGGCAGAAGCCTGTCCTGCCAAGAAGCCACCTGTAGGACATGTGCTTCCTTACAGAAGGGGCCCGTCCTCACTCTGCTGGTGGCCTCCTGCAGCACACGGGCCGCGCCGACCTCTGCCTGGCGCTCCCGGCGCGTGTAGCTGGGCGCAGACTGAGGACGAAGGAGAGGCTGGTGGTGACGACGCACAGGCCGCAGCCTGTGACCCTCGGGCCCTCCAGGAGGACGGTGCGTGGAGGGCCCGAGGGCGTGTGTGCCTCCCTCTCTGCTCTCTGCTCACTGCGAGCAAGTCCCTGGAGCCGCTGGCTTAGTGCGGTGCTCACTCCTTTATTCCTGGGTTTGCAGGCGGACCGTGTGCTTTCCATGTGCTGCAAGGCCGCTTGTGAGAGAAGAATACGAACTGGAAATTCCAGATGCAGTAGGACTGGTGATTTCGTTGTACCTGAATCTGTTTTTCTCACCTGCATTGGTTGGGATTCAGAGTGTTGGTCAGTAGAAGGACAACAGAGGAATTTTACATGAAAATAGCCATCTGCCACAGGTCAGAGTAGCTTTCTAGCTCTTTTCAGTTTTCCAGTAGTCAGTTAGCTGACCAGCATGTCTGAAGTCCCATTAGGGTTATCCCATCAACCCTCCAGTAGCATGTTGGCTGCTTTCAACTATCAGGATAAATGCCTTGTTTATGTGTCTTTGAACTAGAATAGATAGTCTAGTCTAATGGCCCAGGGGTGTGTGTGTGTGTGTGTGTGTGTGTACTATTTTTAAGAGAAGACATTCACAGTTGTGTGTACTTGAGGTGATACGAGAAGAAACGGTTCTGTTAAGTGTTGTGTGTGCACATTTTTCTGCTGTTATTTCTCTCCCTGCTGGCCCTGGTGTCCTGGGCTGTGCAGGAGCCCAAGTCCAAGCTGGACCTGTGAGGCTCGGCCGGGGCTTCGCGCTCGGGAGGGTCAACTTGCACTCTGGGCTTGTGGAGGTCACTGGCACACTTCAGGTTCACAGCTACTGACATGGCTGACGATGGGTCGTTAGTGCTCAGTGTGTAATTACTTTCTTCTCATTCTGTGTTCTTGGCATTTTCGCTCTGAGTTCCTCGCTGTTGTGCAGAAGTTCATTGTATCTTACTGACAAGGTTCCCTGGAGAGGTTGCTCTGGGGACAGCTTCACCTCCTCCACCCCTTCGGACCTGGACTGGCGTCGCTGTGGTTGCCGCATCCCTCCGCAGTGGACAGTCGGCGTGGCCAGGAAGGCCGGTGATTCCAGGGCGCCGTGTCTCGCACTTTTTTTTTTTTTTTTAATCTTCACCGGAGGACATTTTTCCATTTTTTGTTCAGGTAGAGTGGGAGAGAGAGAGAGAGAGAAACATCGACGTGAAAGGGACACATCGAGTGGCTGCGGCACCAGTGTGGCCTTCTCTCCTGTCGGTCCACGTCGCCCCACTTACAATCGAATCATTCATCTTTGGATTTTATTAAATTGGGTTTTTTGAAAAGTGAAAGGGCCAGAGACTTAAGGCAGATTTTCAATCTGTCCTTGCGTCGATCATCTTTGAGGTGAGGTCCGACCGTCCCCATCGCCCTTCCTCTGGGTCCCGGGGTGCGCTGCGGGCACGGGGCACTCACGGAGCGCGGGAGACCCTCTCTTGCTGCCGTTCTCACAGCCCCGGCCGCCACGCTGGTCTGGCCGGCAGCTCGCAGTCACCTCCTCTCCTCCGCAGGCCCTCCTGAGCCCTGTGTGCTGCTGGCCGTGCGGGAACTGTCCGCGCAGCAGCCAGCTGCAGGCTCTCCCTCACCAGGCCGGGGGTGCGTTTGTGCCCGACACTGGGATATGAGTGAGAAACAGGCTTTGGACGTTAGGAAGACTTGTGTTTGGGCGGTTGGTGCTAATTGTCCTGAGGACCCTGACGGGCATTTCATCTTCCTGAACCTCCGTCTCCAGGCTGAGTGAGGTTGCTGAGGGGTCGGGGCAGCTTCTGCGACACGAGCTGCTCCCTACGTGTCTTCCTCCTTTCAGTGCCCACGGCCCGGCCGCGACCTGCTCTGTGCACCGCCGCGCGCCGCAGCGCTGCTGTGTGCTCCTGGCGTCTGTGTGCGGCCTGCTGTCCCGGACAGGAGCAGGGGCTCCCGGGGTCTGTGTGCGGGCCTGCTGTCCCGGACCGGAGCAGGGGCTCGGCGGTTGTGTCAGCAGTGCAGGGCCACACAGCCGCTGATGGGTAGAGCCAGGCTTTCGAATCCTGTGCTCTCTGCAGCTGTTTATAATACTCAATTTATTTTTTATTTTTTTTAGTCCTCACCCAAGGATATTTTTTCCATTTATTTTCAGCTAGAGGGGGAGGGAGGGAGGAAGAGAGAGGGAGAGAGAGAGAAACGGTGTGAGAGAGACACATCGATTGGTTGCCTTCCACATGACCCTGACCAGGGCCAGGGACAAACCAAAACCAAGGTGTACATGCCCTTAGCCTGAATTGAACATGCGACTCTGGTCCATGGGCCGACGCTCTAACAGCTGAGCCAAACCGGCCAGAGCTATAATACTTTCGCTGCTGTTTTTCCCCATGGTGTTGCTTATTTCCTTTTTTTTTTTTTCACTCTTTATTGTTGAATGTAAAATGTATTACAGATGTTCCACATTTTTCCCCCATTGACTCCCTCCTCCCCACTCCCGCCCCCCTCCCACCTTTTCCCACACTATTGTCTGTGTTCATTGGTTATGCATATAAGTTCTTTGGTTTATTTCTTCCCACCCCCCAACCCCTTTCCCTTTGAGGTTTGTCAGTCAGCAATGAATTTGTACTTCTTAATCTCTTCACCTTTTTCACCCATTCCCTCAACCCCCTCCCATCTGGCAACCAACAAAATGTTCTCTGTATCTATGAGAATGTTTCTGTTCTACCTGTTCATTTTGTTTGTAGATTCCTCTGTTGATAGATATGTATTCATTGCCATTTTGTTTGTTCATACATTTTATCTTTTTCTTCAAAAAGACCCTTCATCATTTCATATAATAACGGTTTGGTGGTGATGAACTCCTTTAACTTTTTCTTGTCTGGGAAACTCTTTATACGGCCATCGATTCTAAATGACAGCTTTGCAGGATAGAGTAATCTTGGTTGTAGGTTCTTGCTTTCCATCACTCTGAATATTTCTTGCCACTCCCTTCTGGCCTGCAAAGTTTCTTTTGAGAAATCAGCTGACAGCCTAATGGGAACTCCCTTGTAGGTAACTAGCTGCCTTTCTCTTGCTGCTTTTAAGATTCTCTCTTTGTCTTGAACCTTTTGCATTTTGATGATGATGTGTCTTGGTGTGTGCCTCTTGGGGGTCATCTTGTTTGGGACTCTCTGTGCTTCCTGGACTTGTATGTCTGTTTCCTTCACCAAGTTAGGAAAGTTTTCTGCCATTATTGTTTCAAACGGGTTTTCGATTTCTTGTTCTTGCTCTTCTCCTTCCGGCACCCCCAAGATGCGAATGTTGGCACGCTTGAAGCTGTCCCAGAGGCTCCTTACACTATCCTCATTTTTTTTGGATTCTTTTTTCTTTTTGCTGTTCGGATTGGGAATTTTTTGCTTCCTTATATTCCAAATTGATGGTTTGCTCCTTGGATTTACGTTCTCTATTGAAGCTGTGTAAATTATTCTTTATTTCAGTTAATGCCTCCTTCAATTCTAACTGTGCATCCATGATTTCTAACTGGTCCTTTTTTATGCTCTTGAGGCCCTCACTAAGTTCACTGAGGTTCTCACTAAGTTCATTGAGCATCCTTATAAGCAGTATTTTGAACTCGGCATCTATTAGGTTGCTTATCTCCATTTCGCTTAGTCCTTTTCTTGGGGTTTTTTCCTGTTCTTTCATTTGGGACCTGTTTCTTTGTCTCCTCATTTTGGCTACTTCCCTGTGTTTGTTTCTATGTATTACTTAACGAGAGGTATGGGGCTCGCTGAGACCAGATGCTGCTTGTTTGAAAGAATTTAGGAAAAACCTGAAGCAGGATCCAAGACAGGCCAATCCTATGGTGAAGCAAGTGGCAGCAGCTTGGGTGGGCCTGAAAGTTGGGTGGGCCTGAAAGTTTGGTGGGGTGGGGCGGGGCCTCAGGGAGTCACCAGGGCGGGGCAACCAGTGTGAGCCAGGTTGCTGGAGTCCCAGATATGGGGGCTGTCTGCCACCCCCGGGAAGGGCTCACCAAAGGAACAAAGGCCTCTGACAGCACGTTTTGTCCCGGAGAAAGGCCCTCTCCAGCCCTCGCTCCAGTGCCAAACAGCTCGGTTCTTCCCTGTGTGTCTCTGGCGCCACTCGAGTTGCCTCCCCTCCAACCTTAGAGGAGAGAGTCCGATAAGTCTGTGTGCGGGCCCTTTAGGGAGCTGCCTGGGGCTCCAGCCAGGTCAGCCTCCCTGAGCCTCAGTTCCCGCTGGTTTTTCCAGCCAGAAGTTATGGGGATTGTCTTCCTGGCACTGGAACCCTGAGCGGG